TATAATTTTGATAATTATTACGAAGTCTGTTTATAGCAATTTAAAAGTTTTAAATACTATAATATCTGATTTATAAAAAACGAGAAATTATAAATTCTAATCGTTCCATTCAATAGAAAAATATCCTAATATTTTATATATTAGAATTTTGATAATTATTACGAAGTCTGTTTATAGCAACTTAAAAGTTTTAAATACTATAACATATTATTTATAAAGAACGCGAAATTATAAATTCTCCTCTTTCCCTTCAATAGAGAAGTCAAAATTTTTTATATATTATAATTTTGATAATTATTACGACATCTTTTTATAGCAACTTAAAAGTTTTAAATACTATAAGATATTATTTATAAAGAACGAGAAATAATATATTCTCCTCTTTCCCTTCAATAGAAAAGTCCACATTTTTTATATATTATAATTTTGATTATTATTACGACTTAATCAATTATATCAACTTAAAAGTTTTAAAATCTACAATTATTTAAAAAATAATAAAATAAATTATGAATGAACTATTCATGAATCATCGAGTTTAAAATAGTAAAATGGAATTTCTCAGTATCAATTCAAGTATCTGCAAATGAAATCAACACATTTGTACCTCATGCAGTACTCAGACAGGTGCTAACTGAGAACAAAAGTACGCAGACGAGTATAAAGTTTATATAGTTAAAAGTCTGTTGGAAGTCGGCAATCAGCAATCGGCATTAAAATAATCTAAAATTTCTTTTATTTTATAAATACAAAATGACTTGTGATTTTTATTTCGTGTTTTTCTAGCAACTTTGTGCAAAATTAGTTTTTTTGATCAGATACACAAATTAATTGATTAGATTAAATTGAATATTCCCCGTGTTTTTGTTTATATGAAGATTTGTCCATATTACATGTTTAATTGCTATAGGGTTTACAGGTATTTTAAGTCCATTTAAGCTTTCATTATACGCAAACAATTCAATTGAAAATAAGAGGAATAATAGAATGAAAATACTGTCACTTTCTTTAAGTACATTCCACTTAATTAGATTAAATGAAATTACACAGACAATTTAATTTATTTGCTACCATGAATTAATTGAGCGGATAAACATTTTTGTAATCTAAGATTTAAATTTCAAAAGGTTTAGCTATCATTTACACTTAAATTGTAATGTAAATGATAACGTAGTTAACATTGATTTTGCTTTCATTATTCTTGAAGTTAATTTATAAATTTTCTGATTTATACAATAATTATATATTAATTTCTAATATCTAACATATCTAACGAATATATTTTTGATTTTAAATTTGTTCATAAGTGCTTTATCTTTGCTTTTTTTCCCTCAATAACAAAACTGCTGAAGTTATAATTAATTGATATGTGCACATAAACTATTATTAAATAATAGTTACTATAAAAAAAAATAATTTTTTAATGTTAGCTAGATTTCTTGCTACATGCAAGAAATACATTCTTTTTTGCATGCTGAAACCCTCTAGTTTAATTTTTCTAATTAAATATTGTAATAAAATATTAAATACAAAATACTGCTTAATATATTTTATCACCTAATGATTATTTTATTTTTTTTTTATTACAAATTCAATTTAAATAAAAACCATTACTTTGGGTTTATTAACTATCCAATAATAAAGACTAACAATAAGCAAAGTATATAGTAGTTGTAAGCAATGTTTAGTTTAAGATATAAATATACTTCATAAATATTCTGCAATATGTGTCATTTTTCATATAAAAACTATACAAAATCCATATGAAAATATGCTAAATTGGTTTGATAAGTCTAAGTATAAACGCGTTGATTTATTTTGTGTTATTAGAGTATATACTTGTATTTAATTTTAATATAAATTCTAAAGAAATAGGTTTCATAAATTAAAAGACAACTATATATGGATATTTCAAATCCAGTCCCCAAACTTATTAACCAACTTAATATATTTTTATATATTATAGTCGGAATACGAAAATAACAATCATTGCTGTAAGTTCTAAGCTTAACATAGTACATCATGTAGTATATATTGAGTGATATTAGTAAGTATTCGCATTTCACTATATGGTGTCGGTATCTGAGAAAACCAAAACGTCAAATGAACACGTCACACTTAAATCAAAGTGACATATTTTTCTTTGTGATTGGTGCAGAAGTTTTTAAGCATCTATCATATAGCTCGGACCGTGTACCATCTAACTGTTATTTGTTTCAAAGCTTTCTTAATGGATACACACTTTTCTAATGATTCGGAACCAATTCACGGAAACTGGTACGGAAACTTTTATGCATCCAATGTATAGCCTGGACCTTGTATCATCTGGCTACTATTTGCTGCAGTCTCTGAAACGCTTTTTTAATGTATACTTACCAATATCACTTAATATTTGAATATAAGAACTATTACTAAATTTATGTAAATACGCTATATTCGATTTAGAAGAATATAAGTTAATATTTTAGATTAAACAACCTTTGGAGAGTACCAAAAGGCATGATATATATATGCACCACCTTTAAGTCTGCCATATGGAGAGTATCTTACCTAACGAAAGATTTTTTGTGCTTAAATAAGTTTTGATGCAAAATACTGCTATATGCCAGCTTAACTTAACTTATAATGCTTAAATTGCTAGTAGAAAAGAGTAATTATCTTCATTATTTCTTATAAAATATTTTAATTGTCTTAAATGTTTAAAAACTCGTTTTTTATTCTTGTACTTTTGTTAAAAAAATTTTTTATTGCATAAGATATTATATCCAATTAGCAAAATATTGTATGCTTTAAACTTTAATGAAACCTTAGAGTATTCTAAAGTGACGCCTTCTTCTCTAGATAGTTCTATAATGTTGTTTACGTGCAATTAAATTTCATTTTTGATTTTTTTTCTCTTAACCTTTATATGTACATTCCAAAGTTTATATCAAATGATTTTGCATTTTTAATTGTGAATCATGCATTTGGGTTATTAATAAGTAAAATAATGCTTTTTTATATTTGCGACAAAAAAAATATTAAATTAAATTAAATGAGATATTATATCGTTAAACAGTTATTTAGAGTTGGTTACAAATAGAACATTGCTTTTCCCTAACACGTGGGTCTCATTGAATCACGAATTATATTCGGACTTATAGCAATTGTAAGATAAGCAATAGGTGATTTATTTAAGCCTAATGACATATTTGCCTAAGTTTTTTTAATAATAAAATATGTTCTCTGGAGATATAAAAGTCTCCTGAAGAGAAAGACCTTGTAAGTTTCAAGTTTATAGATTAGTTTCTATCACTTAGTTAACTTAGTAATTAGTTATAATAATTCGAAATCTAGTTACAGTCTTACGCATCATTCCTCTCTAGACGCCCTTGCTGCGTGCATAGCTTCTCCATTTTAGATACCGCGTGTGGGGTTAGTGTTCCTCAACTCGATCATCTCCCCTGTAACAATAAATTTCCCTACATATTTTTCCATTGACTGTGACTGCGAACTTCATTTTGTTGAAGGTCTACCATCCTTATGACATTACCAAGCTAGCAATGCTTCTAGATGTTGATTCGCTGAACAATATCTATGTTGGATACAATAGTTTATTGCCAATTAAAAGGGCAATAGGACTAAACAGCTAACGAAGAATTCTTTTCACAAACACTCCTGTGATGTTTCGTATATTATATGACAACAACCCTGCATCCGCATCATACACAAGCACGATTTGTCGATCGAGAGATACAGAGAGCTTTATATTCCAATAGTCTATAGAGCTCATTGTACCACATAATAGGAATTCAGCACCTTTTTTCGTCTTATCTGCAGCCTAACATCCTCGTCGTTAGTTATGACAGATATATCAAATATTTCTTAGCTTCAAAATTTCAATTGCCAGTAATTAACGTGGCGTTTGAAAGACACATTTATCTTCTTTTTACCCGTATTCACCGCCACGCTTATTTTCACATATTTATTTTGATAGCAGCAAAGTTGGTTAAATGGTATACCATTACAATGAATATTTGCACTGTTTGAATTACGATATCTTATCAAAAGGTTCGGAAAACAATCCAACCTTGACTGAACCTTGACAGGGATATCAAATTTAGATATTGTAGACTTGCGATGCGATTTCTTATGGGACTATCAAAAGCTGCTTTATGAACAACAGAGTCATGTTAGTTGTGAGTATTTTGTCAATGGTGGAACGACCAGGTAGAAAACCGAACTGATAAACTTCAATTAGTGACTTGGCATGTGACTTCAAACCTTCACATAGTATTCTTAAGAGGGTCTTTTACATGAAAATGATTAAAATTGGAGTTTTTATTAACAAATCACTGCCAGACTTGAACAATTCTGCAAATAAACCTGTCACGTTAATGATTTGCAGCGCTGTAGATATAACTTGAACTTCGTTCTGCATAAGTGGTGATATTTTAACACCATTATTTTCGATTGGGAACGCCAAATGTGTTGTTCTAGTTACAAGCGAAGTACTGTCAGCACCAGATAATAGATTGGGGACACTTTCGTTCCGTATATCTACTTATATGACATTTAAACATTATTACTTAAAAATTTATGTTATGATACATAATATGTGATGTAACAAATTATTATTATTTCACATAAAATAATTTTTTTATTTATTGAAAGGCTCATTATATTAATATGAGCAGCCTTTATAACCTTTTATTGTTTACTATTAAAACAATTAGATTGATATGCAATATATTAATAAAATGTGGTATAATGAAATTTAATCGAATGTAATAGAAGTCGATAAGTAGTTTTTCTTATATATAGCATATTATTATATTAGTTAATATAATAGTAAATTGATAATAGAATTCGATAATTATTTTATCTCATACTTAAAATATTTACGTAGTTAATATAATGCATTTATTTTATCAATAGAGTAAATGACATCATATCTTACGAGTGTCATAAATTCGATATATGTTAATAAAAGTTAATTTTTGTTTTAATTTTATTTATAGGCTCGACCACATCGGAGCACAAATAGAATTACTTTAAGTGAAGTCAATCAACAATTGAAATTAATTTTTAACACACATTTTTTGCTGTCTTGCGTAAATGTCTGATACATTATAAAATGGCAAAGGTCAGTAATTGGGAAAAATTTAGATTATTATTGTGGAAAAATTGGATTTTGCAATGGAACAACAAATGGCAACTCGTAATAGAGCTATTATTGCCGGCGATTTTCTCACTTCTGCTGGTGTTGGTGCGAACACTTGTAGTGGCCGAATCTAAGCCAGTGACTGAATATCCATCGCTGAATATATCCAATCTTGACTTTTTCAAGTGAGTATATAAAATTTTGCATGAAACAGTATTAATTATTTTTTTATGAGTACTTACTTTATATACGTTTTAATTCTTACTGTATTGATTTGAAGTGATAAGGCTTTTTATGAGCAAAAACACTAAGTTCTCGCACGCGATAATCAATAATTACAGTAAATGCAAAGAAATTATTGTAATTTTATTTACGGAATTCTGATTACATTTAAACAAGATTAAGTTATTGTTCATAGAATTAAGCAGATTATTTAATGAATTTCTAAGTAACTATTAGAGGTTATGACTTTATAATTGATAGCAGTTGAAAGCAACTAATAAAGTATATAACTTCATTAGAAATTGATTTTGAATAAACTATATAAGCTATATAGAAAAGTTTTACAATATTATATTGTTTTAAAATTAGTCATACATTCCCCAGTCATATACTTTGATCGTAGAATAAAATTGACAAAAGATATAAATATACCTTTTATTCAATAAAAAATATCAAGAAGTTGAAATAATCTAATAAATATCTTAGGGATTATATAGTGTGTAGTAGAATTTATCGTAAAGAAACTGATATTTGAACGATATCTAGTCATAATTTGTTTATATCTATTAAATATAAAATTTCTAAAATATTAGTAAATATTTTTAATTAGACAATGGAAATTCATGTATTTAGTTTTTTTTTAGCTTGCCAAATGCTTATTTAAATAATTTTCTATATTTTTTTAAATATTATTTATATTATTAAATTAATTTCTATGATATAGCATATGACGAATTCGAAAAACTACTTGCAGTTTATATACTTTTTATAAGTTTTAAATTTATTTTAATCAATTTTTAATTTACTATAAAACTAAACATTATTAGTGAAATAAAGTGTTTAAGAGATGTTATAAACTTTATTGTGTAAACGGGAATATTTCAGAAAATCTATAGCTCATGCTAGAATGGTGCAAGCTATGATGAAAGCATTCAAATCAAGGTAATTGATTCTAGTTGAAAGTAGTCGATGATTATATATTTTCTTACTTATTTTTCAAACTGTAATTCTAATACGTTTCTTTTTAATTAATTTTTCACTAATTTGTAGTAACTAATAACTTTAAATATTTGCACTATATCATTAATAAAGTAAAGCGATAAAAAAAATTAGGGTGTTTGTTCCTGCTTGCTTTGCTCATCAATTTTTCTGTCTAATATATTAAAAGTTTTTCTTTTCCGGTAATAATGTATTATTATTACTTATTTTGAACATGTTGTTGTTGGTTAAAATATGAAGTTAACATAGTTCTATCATAAGTAGTCACTGACGAATAAACTACAGTTTCTAAAATATTTTGACCTAAAATTCTATTTTACTAATAAATGTCATAATTTCTATTAAACTTAAAGTATTTCAAAATGTAATGTAGCGGACACAAGTTGACTGACAATTCAATACTATACAATAAATGGCTTTAAGATAAAACAATAAATTATGCACCCATCCCTATTCATCCTAGGTGTGGAGAAATGACTTATTCTAATTGTATTTGCTTAGTTCGGAGCGGAACTTAGTTCGAAACTTTGAAGAAAGTTTCTACAATATAAAAAAATATAATTAATTAATAATATAATTTTTGTTTATAGTTTTTAAAGATTTTACGTTTTAAGTTTACAATTAATTGTTTGATTAGTAAGTTTCTAGAAGTAAATCCTTTATTTTTTATCCCCTATAAATATGCAATAAAATTAAAACAAATTTTTATGAATGTTTGGTGTGGCTTGCTTCTGCTAATTAGTAAAATACTACCTAGTAGTTCTCCTTATCATTTCCTTTGATTTTTTAAATAATATACAAAATTCTTTTCAGTTTTATAATTTATTTTAAAAAATTCATCACATGACCGCTTTTTATTTCAAATATACCAGCTTTTGAAGCTCAAAAATCGTATATCTATACACAATAGCAGGTGAATAAAGTGAGAGGCAGAAAAAATAATTAGCCATTCCGTCTTTAAACTTTCAATAGCATTAAATTTATTAATTACTATATTTAACGTTATACATTTTTTTGCACATTTTTTTGTACTAAGTTATTGAACTTCATCACAATGCCACGTAATCGGCGGATGTGGCAACCTAAATATTTTTCATGTTGGTCTCGATAGTAGATACGGGGCGCTTTAGTAAACTCGTCCATTCAAAACTGTTACTGTCTATACAAATCCTTATGATGTCATTTGTTAATAAAAATATAGATTACAACTTTTAATTATTTCTATTCTCTATAATTTTATATTTACAAAATTTTTTTGAATGACTATATATATTGTAATATTACCTATGTAATATATAGTTTTGATGTGTGCATTCATGGCCTGAAAATCTTCACAATTATAATTATATTTATAAGACATCACAGAAAATCTCATGAAATTTACCCTATTATATGTATTGTAGTATGTAGTTGGAATTGGAAATATTACACAAATAAATTTTACCAAACTCACTAAAACTGCACAATTATTAATTTGAAGCTTGAATTGCAATCCCGCTTTCCATACTAACAACAGTTAATTAAAAATTAATTAATAAAAAAATTAACAACACCTACAACTATAATGAGAACATAGTTAATTGCAACTGCTTATATTATCTCATCTTAATGAAAGCATGCTAAATTAGTATTGCTGATAATTTTTTTGTTCTTAATTTCTTATATTTTAAATATTTTTATTATTTAACTTTAATGAATACATTATATAAATATATAGAGATTCGGTTGGATTGCAAAGTAGTATAAAGTACCCAGCGATGGAACTGCATTACTCGCCTACAAATCCATTACTGGATAAAATAGTAAAGTCTGCAACTGAGACTTTAAAGTTGGTCTCCTATAAAGGACATCCCAACTCATCAGTATTGGGAATTGAACTATCGAAATATAATTATTTTGCTGGTGTACAATTCGATGACGCTTGGGCCAACATTGAAACGTATCCAACAAACTTTTCCTATTCCTTACGCTTTCCCAGTGAACTACGTACTTCCACTTTCAACATCGCCCTAACTTGGCTAACGATGATACTCTTTCCGTTATTCGATTTGACTGGCCCACGTAACCCAAATGCTTCTGACGGTGGCATACCAGTAGGTTATTTGCGGGAAGGTTTCATTCCGGTACAAAATTCTATTTCCATGGCGTATATGAAGTATGCTAGCGGTAATGATAATTTACCTGATGTTGTTATGCAACGTTATCCGTATCCAGAGTATATTTTCGATCCTTTACTCGAAGGTCTTGCATCGATAATGTCATTGATTATATTATTGAGTTTTATTTATCCTTGTACTTATATAACAAAAGTAAGTTGCAATTATAATTTAATATTACTGTGCACTAGATAACGCTTATTTCTAATTTCTAGTATATAACAAATGAAAAGGAAAAACAACTGAAGGAAGTTATGAAAATAATGGGTCTTAATAACTGGATACATTGGACAGCTTGGTTTGTTAAATCATTCTTGATGTTGGGAATTTCAGCGCTTTTAATTACAATTTTAATTAAAGTGAGTTTAAATTAAAATGAAGTGAATTTAAATTATAGACACTAAGATTTTGTTTTTAATTTACAGATTAAATGGACTGATGGTGTGGCAGTGCTCACCTATTCCAGTTGGTCGGCGTTATTTGTTTTCCTACTTGTTTACGTGATTGCCAGTATTTGCTTTTGTTTCATGATGGCCACATTCTTTTCAAAGGCTAGCACTGCAGCCGCGGTTACTGGTCTCGTTTGGTTCATTGCTTATTTGCCTTTCTCATTTACTTATAACACTTATCAAGACTTAAGTTTGGCTGATAAGTTGGGTTGGAGTTTAGTATCGAACACTGCTATGGCTTTTGGCTTCAAAGTTATACTTGCACTTGAAGGCACCGGCGAAGGCTTGCAATGGAGTAATTTATTTAAACCTGTATCTGTTGATGATAGCTTATCACTTGGCTTAATAATGACAATGTTACTACTTTCTTGTATTATTTATATGACAATTTGCTTATATATAGAACAAATATTTCCGGGTGATTTTGGTGTGCCCAAAAAGTGGAACTTTCCGTTTACTGCGAAGTTTTGGTGTGGAGAAAGTGAATATATTGGTGTAGAAGATATACCAAATAGTGATATAATACGTAAAAATCCGGATGCTTTTGAGGCGGAGCCAACTGGCAAATATATAGGCTTGCAAGTTAAGAATCTTAAGAAAAAGTATGGTGATAAAATGGTTGTTAAAGGACTTTCTGTTAACATGTATGAAGATGAAATTACAGTGCTATTGGGTCATAATGGTGCTGGTAAAACAACTACAATTTCAATGCTCACAGGCATGTTTCCACCAACAGCAGGAACTGCTATCGTTAATGGTAGTGATATACGCACAAATATAGATGGTGCACGTATGTCGTTAGGCATTTGCCCACAACATAATGTACTTTTTGACGATCTCAGTGTAGCTAACCATATTGTGTTCTTTAGTCGATTAAAGGGACTCAAAGGTGAAGCAATAAAAAAAGAAGTGGATAAATATTTGAGAATGATTGAATTGGAAGATAAAGCAAATGTGGCATCATCTAAATTATCTGGTGGTATGAAACGAAAGTTGTCAGTTTGTTGTGCTTTATGTGGAGATACTAAAGTAGTACTTTGTGATGAACCCAGTTCGGGTATGGATCCATCTGCTAGACGGCAGTTGTGGGATCTATTGCAAGCTGAAAAAATGGGACGTACCATTTTGTTGACAACACATTTTATGGATGAAGCCGATATTTTGGGTGACCGTATAGCAATTATGTGTGATGGTGAATTAAAATGTCACGGCACATCATTTTTCTTGAAGAAAAAATATGGCTCTGGTTATCACTTGGTGAGTTAATTTTAAAAATTTTTTATTTAACTTCATTAAATTTGTATTTATAAAATAATTTATTTGTAAATTATCTTATATAATAAAGATTTGTGTAAAACGTGAAAACTGCAATTCAATTGAAGTCACCGAGTTACTTAATGGTTTTATACCCGGTTTGCAACCGGAGAGCGATATTGGAGCAGAACTTTCCTATCAACTGCCTGATAATTACTCAACGGTATTTGAAGAAATGTTCAGAGCTTTGGAAAACAATTCTGAAAATTTAAATTTGAATGGCTATGGAGTTGGTATTACTTCAATGGAAGAAGTTTTTATGAAAGTTGGCGCTGAGAACAGTGGTGATGGAAAACGTAAATTGCATAGTGCTATAATGAATGGAGGAAGTGGTTATGCAGATGAAGATATTGAATCAATGCACTGTAAGTCAATTGATATTAAATGGAAATAATATAAAATATAAAGAAATAAATTTTCTTTAATTTCAGCTGATAAAATTTTTGATGAGAATACACGCCTATTACAAGGAACTGATCTAGTGGTAAATCAGTGGCATGCTATGTTTTTGAAAAAAATTCTTTATACGTACAGAAATAAGTTACTCTTGGCTATACAAAATATCATGCCAATATTTTTCGTTGTTGTGACTATACTCATAAGTCGCACACAGGGTACATTTAATGAATTACGTCCTATAACATTGAATTTGATGCAATATCCGACAGCAGTTTCTGTACTCGAAACTGCGCCTGATGTTGAAGAAAACTCTTTTGAGTCACAAGTAGCCGCTGCTTATAAAGTATTAGCAACTTCATATGGTCGCAATTATGAATTCGAATCAACAGGTTCAAAATCATTTACAAACTATATGCTAGAATTGGGGAAGACATTACAAGTACGAATTAATTCACGTTACTTAGCCGGTGCCACGATTTCAAAAAGCAATTTTACTGCATGGCTTAACAATCAACCATTGCATACGGCTCCATTGACTGTTAATATGGTACACAATGCTATGGCTAAGTAAGTAAAAGTGAAACTCAAAAATAGTATTAAATTGTATAATATATATATTTCTTGTAGAGTACTTTTGGGAAATACTACTTCAATTTCTGTTTCTAATGCTCCTCTACCCTACACTACTGAAACCCTTTTGAGTCAGTTGAATATTGGTAACAATTTGGGTACACAATTGGCTACAAACTTATGTTTCTGTATGAGCTTTGTTAGTGCTTTCTATATACTTTTTTTGATCAAAGAACGAGAATCCCGTTCAAAACTATTACAATTCGTTGGTGGAGTTAAGGTTTTGACTTTTTGGTTAACACAATTTCTTTGGGACATGCTAACTTATACATTTACTGCCTTGGTTCTAGTCATTACATTAGCCTGCTTCCAAGAAAATGGCTTTTCCACATTTGGTGAATTAGGTAATTATGAGTAAAGTATTTTAAATTAAAGAACTGTTAATTTACTTTTTGTTTTTAGCGCGATACTTTTTATTGCTCTTGATATTTGGATTTTCTGTGCTTCCTTTTACATATATAATTTCATTCTTCTTTACGGAACCTGCCACTGGTTTTGCACGTATATCTATTATAAATATTTTTGCTGGTAAGTGTTAATATTACGGTAAAGTTATTTAAGCATGGATAGTTCTTTCGTACTTGGAGAAACAGCGTGTACGGCTATATTTGCGGTACATGGATTCCGATGCCAAGTGATCCCGGAAGATATCACCGGGAGCTCTAAAACATGTTTTTAAATTAATCATATATTTATATTTTATATTGTCAATAGGTATGGCGTTATTTATTGTCATTATGGTAATGTCCTTTGATTTCTTCGACACTAAGGATACTGCTAATATGCTGCAATGGTTCTTTAGAGCATTCCCACATTTCTCATTGGCAATGGGTTTGAATAAAATTTATGTTAACGTAGCTACACGTAATGCTTGCAGTAGTCAAATTATAGCAATATTGCCGGATGCTTTGCGTTGCCAAATGATGCCCAAATGTTGTAGTAAGTTGAAAGAAATTTATTTAATAATTTATTTTTTACAAACAGTAGTGTTTTTTCGAACAGTAGTGAACTACAACAACAAAAATTTTATTTTTTATATTATTTTATTAATTGAGTTTTTGGCTGACCATACAGCTGTTTCGAATATTGCCAAATACCCATCATCGGTGGTCTTGGAAATAATTCTTGTATTTAATTATTAATAATTTATTTTTTTAATTAATAAAAATTGTATTTATTCTATGGATTTATTTATTGATTGACCGAAATAATTATTTATATTTAATTGGTTTATTCTTTGTTTTTTCAATTATATTAAGATACAACACCATACTTTGATTGGAAAGAGCCTGGCATATTACCTGAAACAATTTATATGATTACAGTTTCTGTTGTACTATTCTTAGTAATTATAATACGTGAATATGGTGTGATAAGTGAACTTATGTATAATATACGCAAACGCGCCTTGTAAGTTTATATAACAATTGTCTTAAAACTACTTTTTCTATCGGTTTTGTCAATTTATAAAATTTAGTAAACCTCCTCCACCACCAGAAGATGGGTACCTTGATGAAGATGTTGATAATGAACGTCAACGTATACTGGCATTGCGAAGTGAAGAATTGGTTGAACAGAATTTAGTTCTAGATCGTGTTACAAAGTATTATGGCAAATTTTTAGCTGTAAATCAAATTTCTCTATGTGTAAAACAGTAAGTAAAACTACTCCAAGGCTACCTAATAATTATAACTTATAACTTTTAGAACTGAATGCTTTGGTTTGCTTGGCGTAAATGGTGCTGGTAAAACGACTACTTTTAAAATGATGACTGGTGATGAGCGCATCACATCCGGTTCGGCATATGTTAAAGGAATGAGTTTGGAAAGCGACATGAACAATATATACAAAGAAATCGGATACTGTCCTCAGTTTGATGCGTTGTTAGAGGATCTTACTGGACGCGAAACGTTAAAAATATTTTGCCTACTACGCGGAGTGCAACGAAATCGAATTACGCATATATCTGAAGAGTTGGCTAAATCATTTGGTTTTATGAAACATATTGATAAAGAAACAAAAGCTTATAGTGGTGGCAATAAACGTAAATTGAGTACAGCTATTGCTGTTATTGGACGACCAGCAGTTATATATCTTGATGAACCTACAACTGGTATGGATCCTGCTGCTAGACGTCAGTTATGGAATATGGTTTGTCGTATACGTGATTCTGGCAAGTCAATTATATTAACTTCACATAGTATGGAAGAATGTGAGGCTTTATGTACACGTTTGGCAATAATGGTAAATGGTGAATTTAAATGTATTGGATCAACACAACATTTGAAGAATAAATTCTCTAAAGGCTTGATTTTAAAAATTAAAGTAAAACGTAACACGGAACTCATAAAACGCGCCTCTAGAAAGTAAGTTTTTTTTTCTTAATACCTCTATTATCCAATAACAAAATATTTTATTTTCTTTCAAACAATTTTAGTAGCAAAAATTATGATGATGAGCGGTCAGTTCCAACACAAGTATTACAGCAAGAGATAGCTAATGTCAAAGAATTTGTGGAACGAGAATTTCCTCAAGCAATATTGCAGTAAGTACCATAGATTGTCTAAGGAGAGAAACTTTTGAAATAAATATAAATTTTTACTTCTATTTTAGGGAGGAATATCAGGGTATACTCACATTCTACATTCCACTTTTTAGCATTAAATGGTCGCAAATTTTTGGTCTGATGGAACGCAATCGTGAAGAACTCAATGTTGAAGATTATTCAATTAGTCAAACGACTTTAGAGGAAATATTTTTAGAGTTTGCAAAATACCAACGAGAAGATCCAAGGGCCATAAAGTGAGCTTTGTGATTTTTTTTAAAGCTGCTTTACTATTATTTTCTGCAGTATTTGGCTTTAATATGCACAAAATAATAATCTACACTAACGCTTACACTTACATACCTAAACACGAAAAACGCACTTTAATATATATATTTATATGTAATTAATTTTGAATACTAATTAATTTTTACTAATTATTTTAATTTGTAGGTTAGCAATTATGATTTTATTATGTAGTTTTAGTTTGGCTTTGTATTATATTATATTTACACAAATTCCGAAAAACTTTACAAAAACTGCACAAACGGATTGAATAATTTAATTATAATTATTTTAAAAATTTAATATAATCTTATAAATATTTGCTTCTTCTTTTACAACAAACGAAACTAAAGCACAAAAAAGGGATACCTTTCATGTTCCTGCTATGGTTAATTGAATTTTGGGTCGTAACTATTATACCTATTACTCAGTGATAAATAATGCAAGTACAATCCTTTACAAAAGGACTTAATATATAGAAGTTTTGAATGAACAGGAAAGATACTACATAATTTTAAAGCTTTAATATGCTGATCCTACCTATTATGAAGCCTTAACTCTAAGCATAGATAGTATTTTTTTATTTTACAATTTTATTGAAGTATTTTTAAATGTCGCAAAGTTCTATATATATATATATATATGTATGTATTATATACAAAAAGAATTTAAAAATTATGTACTCTAAAATTTTAAAGTATTTTTGAATTTATTTTTTAAATGACATCAAAACTAAGGTGCAAGTGCTGTACTTATAAGAACTCATATTTACATATATATAAATATTCATTTTATTTTAGTAAATGTTGTATGTATGAATTTGTTATTTCCTAATGTGTTATTAAATCTTAAGTGTTTATAGTTTTAAATCTTTTTAAATTATAACAAAAAGCTTTAATAAATGATTTACAAATTAGCAAAAAGAAATAAAATTTGTTTGTTATTTATTTTATATTATTTTTATATATAAAATTTATAGTACATCTGTACATTGTAGAATGTGTTTTATATGTTATATTCAGTGTTATCTGTAAAAGTTAACTGGTGTTAATTGTATTGATGAGTTAAAATTTATTATATTATCAACATCATTATCGGCACTATACCAGATGTTTGGTGTAGCCCGCCTTAATAAGTATTTCCAATGTTGACCCATTGCTAACCAACACCATTTTGCTAGGCGCACTTAGGCTCTCACCATGCTGCTCAATTTGTTATAGTCGTTAAGTCATTCATGCGAGCTAGCTGATTATAACACATTATGTTGAAAGATCATTTGGAGGTCTTCGCGTAGAATGGAAAAACAGTGTACTTAAGAGTAATTTCATAATTTTTATCTCTGCTTAGTCCTTATATAGCGAACAAAGTCTAAAGGAGTGAGTTTAGCTGAATATAATAAATTATATGGAAATATTATTTGGTGGAGATCTTCTGGTCGTTTGAAAGAACACTGTACTCTAGAGTAATTTCTAGTCTTACCTACAGTTAGTCTTTATAAAGTAAACAGAAAATAAAACAGTAAGTAGTTTAGCTGAATATAATAGATTATGTGGAAAGAACATATGGATATCTTGTCGTTAAGTAAAAAATGGTTTAAATGGTTTTATGAATCAAAAAAAGTTATGATTTTGTGGTTAGAAGCAAAAGATTTATGTTACGAATCTAAATTGTTACAGAGAATACTGTTATTATTATAAATAACTGCACGGTGTGGAAATTATAATAAATCCCGTATATACATACCCGTAAATTAATAACATAACACGGAAAGGATTGGTCGATCTTTACAAATAAACTCGTAAGTACATTTATTCTTTAATAAATATTTAAGTAGGAGATAATATTTAAGTTGATATCAATATGCTGTAATTAATTATAAATTTTGATTAATGAATACATACTGAAAAAAATAATCTATATTATTATTTAATTGTAAAGTATGATATTTGTTTAAACAAATATAATAAATATTAAAGCAACTACTGTTTAGTAATTTTATTATCTTTCCAAATATAATAAATAACAATAAATTTTAACATTTCTTATTATCAGAAAATATTATTATCTTTTGACCCTCTATCAATCCTAATCTATATGTTAAAATCTAAATGATGCCGAGTTTAAAGATAAGTTCACGTGAGAAATTCAGCGGCATAAAGTACTCCAATTATAATATAATCATATATAGAATTTCATGTGATTCATATGACACACTTCCCGTAAGACCCGTGACGTTCCATAAAATCTATAAAATTGTTTTTGGTTTCGCCAATTTCATATCAACAATTTAGTTAAGTTTAAGTGTACTAATTGAGATATGGATTGATTATCTTTACTACCTAAACAATTTTATTCTTAGACGCAAATATTTTCAGGTATTAAAGAGCAAATATTATTAGAAAACTGTTCAAATTGTTCACAGTTCTACAGTAGTTAATACCTTTTAAACGTTGTGTTATATTATTTAAAGTATAACTTAGAGTTCATATAAACAATTTTATAAAAAGGATTTCTGCAAAAAAGGACATTTTTATGATATTAAACTATATTAGTTTAAAGTGCGAACAAAGTGAAGTTTTCTACAACTTTTTTGATTAAAATATATATGAAAATATTATATTTTAGTTCAAACAACACAGGGATAACGAAATAATATATAATTAATTATAAGAAAATAAAAATTATTTTAATTTATTTCATTCATTAAGGTATGTGAAAATAATTATGTATTAACATTGAAAACTTAATATTTACGAGAATGTTTTGTAAATAATCAAATTATAAATATTTGATTATATATCATATATGTATATATATATTTGTGGTAAGGAAGTAATTGAAATTAAGAATAAGTAAATGTAATTATATTGAAATACATATAATTTTAATTACTTTTACTTATATAAAATTCAAATTCAAATTTTAAATAACTAACAACAATATATATAATATATAATAATATATTTTATCCTACCAAAGTCTAAATTACAGATGGCAAAAAATTGCCATCATGGCGTTCAGTTATTGGTTTTAGAATCCGTTGATGTCCGTATGATGCAAGTTGTCGTCAGTAAAGAAAGAGTAGTATTTGAATGTGAGTCAATGGTGTTGAAAATTTTAAGTGCCTTGACGCGTATGTCTATTGCTAAGATCTCGATACGAAGATCCCTCCGAAAACTCTTTGACGACATTTAGATTTCATTTGCGTTTAAGAGCTTACAATGAATTAAACTCATAGAGTTTGAATGTTGTGTTAAAAGTTTTGCTATATTTTAAGCAGTCAAAAAGGGATTGCATATATTATTTATTTTCTAAACATTTGTTTTTGAAAAAATTTAAATATTTAATTCAATAATTCAATAATTCTAATTTATTTAGGAGGTGCTTAACTTCTGCAACATCTGAAAATTGTATTGAGATGAATTTGTTAGCGGTAATTTCTATTTTATAATTCTTTTACATACATTTTTGAAATAAAAGGATTTATAATATTTACAGCTACAATTGCTAATTTAGTGGAAATTAAAATTATTTAAGAATGTCTCTTTCAAACATTCACCTATCTCTTTCTTCCCATTCTATCAAGTAGTGAAGATTCTCTCATCCTTCCCTGTTTACGTGTTTGCTCTGCAGGACTACCCACAAAAAACATATGGTGGTTTTCATTTAGTGTGTTACAATTTATATAAATATTTTTGTTTATGTTTATATAGATTAATAAACCCCTAAGATAGCTATTGATAAGCTATTTTTGCGTTACTAAAAATTTTTTGGCGTGTGAAATTAAAAAAAATAGTAATTATTAGATTAGATTTCATATCAAGTTTCATAAAATGCATTTTATATGAACTGAAGATTAATCAGTTTTATTGAGGGTAATTTCTTAAATGTTAACTTATTTCTGGCAGTGAGAATAATATAAATATTAAGGAATATTTAAAAAATAATGGAATTACATTAAAGATATTATACAAATTATAAGGATTAGTTGCTTTAATTATGCCTAGAATTTTAGAAATGTTATATATATATATTTATAAACGTTATTTAAAAAAAAATAATTTTTATTTATTGATTTTTAGATTTCTCAAAATCAGCTTTAACTTCCATATATATGGATAAAATTTTTATTGTTCAAAAATGACTAAAACAATTAGTAATTGGGAAAAGTTTAAGCTATTGCTTTGGAAGAATTGGTTAATACAAAAGTTCCATAAATGGCAACTTTTGATTGAAATATTAATACCAGTAATATTCACATTTCAATTGGTACTACTACGTGGAATTGTGGAAGCTGAACCAAAACCGGCTGTGGAATATTCACCAGTTAATATATCAAACTTAGACATATTTCTGTAAGTATGCTGAATTCAATAGAGTACGATTATTTTATTATTATATGGGAATATACATTATTATTTATATAGTATATTGTAGTACCTACAATTGTTTTATTTTATTTTATATGTTAGAATAAGCGGAATTGAGTCTGTTCTCAAGATGGATAAGCCTGCTGCTGCTTAGTTTTAAATGAATATTCTACATATATAGTAAGTCTGAAAGAGGACTAAGAGAGGACAAAGGACTTAGGTTTTTATTTGTTACAGTATATTTTTTTTTTGGTCTCACCATCAAACCGCAAAAATAGCGAAAACTATATAAAGTTGTCAAAGAACATAAATGAGTTAATGATAGTGATCCTGTCATTAGAATTGTAATTAAAAATTCTAATTTTTATCTTAACTATTTGACAGCATCAAATTATGTATGCTGTGTTTGTATGATAATTAACATCAAAATTATTGTATTTCGTTGACTTGCCTCTTTTCATAAATTTTATTGACCAAATAAAAGTGAAAATTACTTGATTATAGTATCGCTAATTTTTAATTATTTGTTGCTATTTTTTTTTCGGTTAGGTTCTTATCAAATTGATAAACAAAAAAGTAAACAAAACAAATGTCTAGTTTTAGGAATTATTTTATAAATATTTTACAATTCGACAATAGTTGTTGGTATTGCAGAATTTTGAACAGTTTGTGGATAATAAACATTGAAAGTTAATGATCATTATTAGTGAAATCAATTTACTACTATATTTGTTAATTTTGTTCAATCAATAATCAAAGCAAGACGATTTCAATAATATTAATATTCAACATTATTATTATTATAAAAAAAATATAGCTTCGCAGCTATAAGATCTCTTTTCATGGACTTCGGATAATACTCATAGTCCTTATTCCTTATCAATTAGCGATATTACAACATACAACATATACAATAATACTACTATAATTTCTATATTTACTGAGATCTTTCATCGGTTTATACAAAGTTCACAACAAAGTTCAAATCATATGGTTCGGGATTCTTATTTCTTATTTAGAAAACTTACACTATTATAATTCTTAAGTAGTTATATGCTATGTTGAAATTGTACTTGTATCGTCATTGTAGATCCCTCTAAGCGTTATGTAGTATGAATAATCCAATAGATTTTTTCCGAAGATTATTTTTTTTACTTCTTACCAGCGTCTGCAAAACCGTTGTTGTCCCCTTCCTTATAAGTTTGTAATTTTTGCATAACGTGGAACCGATAAAATCCACATCTTATTCTTTTG